CGCCCTCCTCGCAGATTGCTGCATGTATTCGTGTTGAGTTACTTCGGCGTCTGTACCCTTATTACAGAGGTTCCACCTGCCCCCCGCCCCCCCCGCTACGCCGGCTCTGGAAGTGCAAGGGACACGCTCCCCACAGGGAGCTCTAGACCAGGTCCCCCACCTGTACTCCGCAAGTACAGTGGGGGTGCATTTTGGAGACCCCAAATCGGGACGAGTGGACTAACAACCAGAAAGACCACTTGAAAACAGGGTTGGTTTATGGGAAAACAGGGTTTGTTTATGGGAAAACAGGGTTTGTTTGTGTGATAGGAACTGTACAGAGAAAAGAGATACTGCTCGTTCCTGTTCTCAAGAGGTTCTCTGTTGGAGAAACATGAGAAATCAGACCACCAACAGAGCTACGGCAAGGGTACGTCCAGGGGCATCTGGCTCAGCCTGGGACTTAAGAAATGCTTTCCATGTTGACGCGGAGAAGCCTCCCTTGTAATGACAGGGAGCGATGAGAGCCTAGGGTGGTGTGGGAAACATGTTATGAAGGTCTAACTGGAGCAGAGGTGCCTGCAGGAGTGACAGGGGAGAGCGCTGGAGCAGGAGGGCTGGGCCAGGGATGCACGGTCTGTGCCTAAGGAATGCAGCCTCTATTCCGAGGCAGTGGGGAACTGTGAAAGGATTTGACCACATGAGTAGGTTTTTGTTTTCCAACAGAATGGAGAATGGACTTGGGGGAAGCAAATCGAGTGAGGGAGACCGTTTGAACTGGATGTGAATTGGGGTTGGGGGCTGGAAAAGGAAAATAGGTACCAAGCGGACGACCCTCTCTTGTTAACACACTCATTCCCCACAGTGGGTACAAACAGTTCTTGAAGATTTCAGGTGTTCCCTGAGGTGACTTCTCTGGCCATTTGAATGTGGGGGCGGGGGGGGGGGGTGTTCCCAGGTCAGGGCAGTGACCTCTGCAGAAGGATATTTTCTCCATTTCATGTTGATTCTGACTCTGAAAGTCATTCTATCATAACCAGATAGATAAGATACTTTTGATGAGTATTTACCAACTGAATTTCTTTTTCTATGGAGTCCACCCCAAAGCACTCCCCATCTCGAGGGTCTCTTACCTCTTCAAGTTTACCTCTGCCTCCATCACGGACTCCTCCTTTGGATGATGTAGTACCCTGAAATTTCTCCAAGTTTAAGCTCTGGGATCTCTGATCTCTCTCTGCTGTCTTCCTCCAAGTTCTTACTCATTCACATGCTTAATGTAATTATAAAAATGATTATTATTATCACCTATTTTGTAAAACCTTTTACTTGGTTCACTGCAGAAACATTCCCACACATGTTATTTAGCACATTTGTTCCTCACAAAAACCTCGTGACAGTTGTAAAATGAGAAAAACGAGGTTCAAAGTGGTTAGGGACTTTCTCTGGAGTCATCCTACAAGTGGTAGAAGGGGGCAGAATTCTTGTTCAGGGCTGAGCTAGCACTTTTTGAAAGGGCAGTCCATCTGCCCTCCACTGGAAGTTTCAGCCCTTCAGCTCTACCCCTGTGACTCATCACCCATGGAACTAGACACCACCCCGACTTCATCTTTCCAGCCAAAGTTAAGGTTCTCTGAGAAATAGATTCAAACCTTAAATGCTTTGCCGGTTCCTCCCTCTCCTCTCTTCATGTTTCTATTTCTGCCCCTCTGAACAAAAGCACCATCCTCCTGGACTCTGCTCCTACCTCTCATTTCTTCCCCTCCATTTCATCCCACCAATATCCCGAGGTTAGTCTCCCTAAATCACAGCTGGGAGACCTTGCCCTGTTTAGAAATCTTTAAATATTTAGATGTTTTGGCCTGAGGACTGAAGGGTCCTGGGTTGGATTCTGGTCAAGGGCACATGCCTTGGTTGCAAGCTCGATCACTAGCCCCCATAGGGCTAGTGCAGGAGGCAACCAATGTATCATCGCTCTTTCTCTCTTTCTCTCTCCCCATCCGTTCCACTCTCTCTCTAAAAAATAATAAAAAAAAAATCAATGGGAAAATATCCTCAGGTGAGGATTACCAACAACAAATTAGATATTTCTTTGGTGCTGTGCTTGCAATACCAGGTGGTCACAAAATGTTCTTTAAGAAGCTCATTGTACTTATGAGACTGTAAGAAGCATTTATAAATATTAACTCATTGAATATCCTCATTCTTTTATTCCCCCCAATTTCATGAGGAAATTGAAGCAGAGATTAAGTGGCTCACCCAAGGTCACATGCACAGAAACTGTTGGTATCAGGATCCAAACCTAGGCAGCATGACTGCCTACGTGCAGAAAAAGGCCAGAAAAGCCTGTTTGGAGAGTGTAGACAGGTATATTGCAAGATGAAATCTAGCAGAAAGGGTGGGGCCTAGAATACCTGCTGACAGCTTTGCTTCAGCTCCACTTGCACATCGAGAGAAATGAATACAGGTATTTCCTGTTTAGCATTAGCTATCCAGCCCTATCCTGAGAAGTTGGTACGAATCATTAAGATCATCTTCCTCTGGTTGTAGGGAAAAGCGAACACTATACTGAGCCCCTACTTTCCAAAGACAGTATGTGGTAATGATACTGTTAGGTCGAAAGGGGGTCCAGGAGCTGATGCATGCCTCCGCCAGGCAGATGGTGACGTAGATACTGGGCCCTTCCTAGAATCCGTAACAGGCCAGTGCACCAGGTAAATGGTGACGCAGATACCGGTCCCGCCCTGGAATTCCTAACAGGTCAGCTACCAGCCAGATGATGACACCTGGAAACCGTGACGACCCCTGCTGCGGGAACTCGCACAGCTCATGCTCCCCCCGCCCTCACTGAACAGCTGTGTAAGAAAAGCGCCCCCCCTCCCTGTTGGTGCGGATCCACGTGCCCTGTCTTTGGGGTCCGTGGGCCGCCTGGGGACGCAGAATAAAGCCTTTCCTTTCTTCCTTTTCTGATTAACTGGACTCCATTTCCTACACCGCCTCTTGAGCCACCTAACCTAACAGATACCAAGATGAGAGGTCAGCACTGGGCTGGTCCTGGGGATAAACAGGATCCTGCCTTACATCTGGCTCGCTTCCAGGAAGCCTGCAGGGGGTTGATACTCTTGTGCAGGTTCCACTTCCAGTTGTGAATTTGGGCAATGGAGTTTTCCCATCTGAAACTGGGTTAGATTAATACCCATATCAGAGTTGTGAGGATTAATATATGCAAATACTTAGAACTAAGTATTGCAAGTGCAACTAGTCTAAGCAGACCATCTACATGTTGCTTTATCAGTTCAAAAAGCCAAAAAGCTGTGCTCTCCCCAATTTCGGCTACAGGAAATAACTCCCATTCCCAAATCTATTATCCTCTGGCCCTGAATACCATTTGTGAAACTCCATCTGGGCATTCCACACAATTTGGCCAAACCTACCACCCAAATCCCAAATACACTTTCCTTAAATCTGACCACAAAGGCCCCTAAATGGTTTAATGGCTATCTGAACCCCACGCACCAGGATCGACTCTACCTTCTAGATGGTCTCCATCCTTCAGGGCCTATTACATCCCATCCCTACAAGGCTGGCAGTCTGTACAAGGGCTTGACAAAGCTTCCATTGTGACCCAACCTCACATCATCCATGGCAGTGGTCTTCCAGGCTTAAGGGCTTGCTACTTGGACACCAGTTGTCTAGGTTTAACTAGCCTAACAGCAGTGGGATTTGTAACATTCATAACAAATCTTGTAGTTGCTAATGTAGGTGAAGCATTACCCATATTTTAAAATTTAACCAGTCATCCAACTGCGTAATGAAAATGAGATCTAGCCAGGGAAGCATATAAAGCTAAACACAAAGAGCACAAGACAAAAGCTTAGGGTCTTCAGGGCGCAACTAATCAATCAGGCATTAATCGCTATAGCACTCGATTATGGAACACTATCTTTGGCTGTCATCATACACTCCCATATGAAAAAAGAAACCACACTAATAAGTATATAGTCACCTTTATTATAATTCACAAATACATAAGGATCTTAAAAAACATTTAGACTTGCATGGGCTTCTGTTCATTCAGCTATGCAATTAGAAAACCAACTTTGAGGTTAAAAAAACAAAGTATCATTTTAGTTTCATTTTTTTGCATCACACATTCTGACAAGTTTTCTGGGTCTTTTCAAGGACCAATACTGTCTCAATAAAGCTGCCCAGCCCAAGCCAGTTTGGCTGTGAGTAGAGCGTAGGCTGAAGGGTCCCAGGTTTGATTCTGGTCAAGGACATGTACCTCGGATGCAACCAATAGATGTGTTTCTCTGGCCCTGACCAGTTTGGCTCAGTGGATAGAGCGTTGGCCTGTGGACTGAAGGGTCCTGGGTTCGATTCCGGTCAGGGGCATGTGCCTTGGTTGCGGGCAATATCCCCAGTGGGGGGGTGTGCAGGAGGCAGCTGATTGATGTTTCTTACTCTATCCCTCTCCCTTCCTCTCTGTAAAAAAATCAAAATATATTAAAAGAAAAATATACTCTGGTGAGGATTAAAAAAAAAAAAGCTGCCAATGCTCAGTGCCTTCTGTAATGACATAAATTTCAATGGGCCATGTGGCCAATGGAACATCCTATTAGTCTACCAGTTAATACAGATCTGGGAATGACAGAATTTGCATTTAATTTCCCTTACTCCCAAGGGCAGCCAGCTACTTATCCTCCAAAAACAGCCATCACTTTAGAGGAACCCAAAAAGCATTAACTGCCAAAATGGTGAGGTGGCTCCTCTTCTTTCCTAAATGAAAGCAGAAAAAAAATCTTTAGAATCATAGACTCTTAAATTTAAAAATTTCACATTTTAGCATGCTAGATGTTTCCTGCATGGTTTATCTCCTCAGTCATTGTCCACAGGACTCTGAGAAGCTGTAGGAATATGCAGGCGCAGACTCTAGGCCCGGCTTTCTCTCCAACGTTGTGGAAAGGGACTGTACATCATGGGGCAGAGCCCTATGCTCCCCTACGCCACCTGGACAGAGCCTGGGGAGAGTGACCTCCCAGGGTATCCACGTTGGGATCATCTGATAATCACAAACAGTAGTAATTACAGTACAGCTAGACAGCATCACCCCTCAAAACTTCTTAGATTTTTATTACATACTAGAGACCTGATGCACGAAACTCGTGCAAGAGTAGGCCTTCCTCCTTCGCGTGCGTGGCACTCCCCCCCCCCCAACCTTGGCTTAGTCCAAGGACGTCCGGTCTGATCAGCATATTATGCTTTTATTATTACAGATCACACTACATGCAGATGTTGGTTTAGTAACTGTTTTTAATCAATTTCAAACAAGTCATTACTATGTACTATTTCATGATTTACTTCATCAGTTATTCCTTGTTGAAGGCGTATGCAGACAAATATGCCCAGCTTCAACTCCAGTATCATGAAAAGGGTCTGTGCATGAGATCAAACCCTATCTCCTGTGGATGGACTGTAAGGGGCAAAACCGATAAGCCAAAAGCAATTCAGATTTACTTACCCAAATCAAGTTATTTAGAATCTTGATTGAAGGCTGCAAAACAAGGTAAAGAGCTTAATTCAGCAGTACAGTAAAGCTGGTTAAAGCAAAAAATTCACTTCTGATCAACCTATATCCAGATAGGACTCTAGAGCAGCAATTGTCAACCTTTTTCACCTCATGCAGCACAAATTACTAAAACTGCAGCACATAAAAAATAAGTATTTTACCGACCTGCCAAAACAGGTAATTTTTAAATATAGGTTTTTATCGATTTCAGGAAGAAATAGTAACATCAATGATAGAATCATGGATAGGCCGTCTCCTGCACGCGCCCACTCTCCCAACTGGCCATGTGCACTGACCCCCTGGTTCATGGGTCAATGCTCAACCACTGAGCCAGGCCAGGCCAGAGGTAGAATTTTAATTGATTCACACCAATTTCTGTGTTGGATGTTGATTTTAAATTTGACAATCCAAGGGAAAAGAGGTCAGTGCCCCTGACTAAATCGGCAGGTACTTGCAAGTTTTCAATTTCTTGCAGCACATCGGTTGAAAATCGCTGTTCTAGAGATGTTTCCTGCATGGTTTGTCTCCCCAGTCATCGTCCACAGGACTCTGAGAAGCTGTAGGAATATGCAGGCGCAGGCTCTAGGCCCGGCTTTCTCTCCAACGTTGTGGAAAGGGACCGTACATCACGGGGCAGAGCCCTCCGCTCCCCTACGCCACCTGGACAGAGCCCGGGGAGAGTGACCTCCCGGGGTATCCACGTTGTTCACTGCACTTAGATTCACAGACTGCGGTGCTAGAAATCCCACCCAGCGACAGCGATTTCCCAGGGATACCTAAATCCCCCCAAAGTCGTCAAAACTCGAGTTCAAGACTGGCCAGAAGTCCTGCCAGGAACCTAAATTCACTCAGCCGGGCGCCGCACACGCACATCTAGAAACAACAGCCGTCAGCACGCTCCCAAAGAAACGGCAACTGCAGAGCCTTTCAGACAGCAGTTAACCTTTCCATCTTTAAACCGATCATCGCCAGCCGTGAAATTACCCTAAATGTTACATTGGCAGCACTAAGAACCATCGGTTTCGAAATCAGGACTCACACGCGGGAGGGGCCAGGAATAAAATGTCCTGCGTGCAACTCCACCGAGGGCAACGCGGCTCCCGGGAGGCAGGGCAACAACTGGGCCGCGGGGCGGGGTGGCTGCATTCTCGGCGTCTCGGCGCGCAGGGTGCAGGTCGGCGCGAGCGCGCCCCGGTTATGCCGTCACCCGCGGGTCGCGAGCGCCCCGGCCCCGGCCGCCCCAGCCGCTCCGCGCGGAGTAAGCGTAGTTGGCACGGACGCCGCCGAAACCAGCCCTTCTAAATAGCACCGTTTCTACAGGAAAGCCGGGCTGGCGGGATCGAGCACTAGAGCTGAAGCTGACAAACCAGGCGGATACAGACACTTACCAGACACCATGAAGGCTGAGCGAAGCTCTCCCTCTAAAAGGCCGGGGGAACACAAGGCGTCCGTATTTATACCCTTTGAAGCGCGCGGATATGTCTACTGCGCCTGCGCCCCGCCATGCGCAGTCAGCGTATCGGAAATTCACTAGATTAAGCCCCACCCCCAGAGGATTCTCGCGATACGAGAGCCTTCACGCGCGACTTTGCTGGGGAATGTAAATTACAGAAGTTACGTATGTAGGCGGGTAAGTTTCCAATAGCAAAGTTACCGTTCTACCCTCGGTTCAGGCCGTCTGGGGAATGTGCTGTTAAACTCGTGAGAAAGAGCTTTGGTGTCATAACTATGCAAAGTAGAAAAAGACATCTAGAAAAACGCGAGAAGTCTAAAAAGTGGTTGAATCTGCCCTGTACACTGAAATAGACATTTGACAAATGCGTCGGTAAAGAAGACGAGTGCTCCTACGCGAATTGGTTAAACTTCAGAGTCTCTTATGCACAACTACGGGAATATACTGTTGAACTGTACACTTACAAATGGTTAAAATGGTAACTTTTATGTTAAGTACATTTTAACACATACGTCCCTAATCTAAAGACTTAGGCAAGTAAAGAATTCCGAAGATACATATTGCAGTAAAATGTTACAAATGTGATAGAATTTCGGATATGGTGTTAGGTGAATAAATGTTAAATTGACATAGAGCTCTCACAGCTGGACTCTAACGAGTAGAAACATTTATGGTGTTCCTTCTAGAAGGTGTTTGTGCTGGGTGGTTTACATACATCCTTTACTGTCACAGCAATTCTAAGACATGGGAATTATTACCCAAATTTTAAGATGCAAAACAGGACCAGAGCAGTGGTTCTCAAAGTGTGGTTGGTAGACCCCGGGGTCTCTGAGATTCTTTTGGGGGTCCTTGAGGCCAAAACTATTTCATAATACTTTCTTTGCCTTTTTCACCGTGTTGACTCTGCACTGATGTAAAATGAAATAGTGGGTAAACTTGGCTGGTGCCTCAGTATGTTTCAAGGCCTTGTCATCAAACTGTACTGGTAGTAGTGTTTTTCATCATCAAAGATATACAGTATTTTATTTTATTTTTTAAATATATTTTTATTGATTTCAGAGAGGAAGAGAGAGGGAGAGAGAGGTGGAAACATCAATGATGAGAGAGAATCATTGACTGGCTGCCTCCTGCATACCCCCTACTGGGGATTGAGCCCACAACCCAGGCATGTGCCCTTGACCGGAATTGAACCCGGGATCTTTCAGTCCACAGGCCGACACTCTATCCACTGAGCCAAACCAGCTAGGACAATATACAGTATTTTAGAAAAGTGATATTAACCTAAGAATGTCTTTGATGAAGCAATAATCATTAATTTTATTCTTGACTTTTGAGTACCTATCTTTTTTTTTTTTAAATATATTTTATTGATTTTTCACGGAGAGGAAAGGAGAGGGACAGAAAAGTTAGAAACATCAATCAGCCGCCTCCTGCACACCCCCCACCGGGGATGTGCCCGCAACCAAGGCACATGCCCTTGACCGGAATCGAACCTGGGACCCTTCAGTCCGCAGGCCGACGCTCTATCCATTGACTTCAGAGAAGAAGGAAGGAGAGATAGAAACATCAATGATGAGAGAGAATCAACAGTGGGCTGCGTCCTAGATGCCCCCCACCAGGGATTGAGCCTGCAACCTGGGTATGTGTCCTGACTGGGAATCTAACCATGATCTCCTGGTTCATAGGTTGATGCTCAACCGCTGAGCAACACCAGAAGAGCTGAATATCGATCTTTTTAATATTCTGAGTAACAAAGTGATAAATACATCTACAGCACTTTTGCTGCATACCAAAGTACACTGGTTATCTCCAGCAAAAGAATTTATGTGATTGGATTGAGCTGAAATAGCTTTATTTTTTTCATGGCATACAATTTTACTTGAAAGAACATCTGACATCTTTGCCAACTAGGTATCTGTGTAAGACTGGAGTTTCTTCATTTTCTTAAACTAAAACAGCATGTA